TCTAATCTTTAACAAGAACATTGTTTGATTCCCACAGAACTGATGATATGTAATACATCTAATCTTTAACAAGAACATTGTTTGATTCCCACAGAACTGATGATATGTAATACATCTAATCTTTAACAAGAACATTGTTTGATTCCCACAGAACTGATGATGTGTAATACATCTAATCTTTAACAAGAACATTGTTTGATTCCCACAGAACTGATGACGTGTAATACATCTAATCTTTAGCAAGAACATTGTTTGATTCCCACAGAACTGATGATGTGTAATACATCTAATCTTTAACAAGAACATTGTTTGATTCCCACAGAACTGATGACGTGTAATACATGTAATCTTTAGCAAGAACATTGTTGGATTCCCACAGAACTGATAATGTGTAATACATCTAATCTTTAACAAGAACATTGTTTGATTCCCACAGAATTGATGCTGTGTAATACTTCTAATCTTTAGCGAGAACATTGTTTGATTCCCACAGAATTGAACGTATTTTGTGTTTAAAATGCAAGGTTATGAACCTCGATTATGAACAATGAGATTACAAGCTCTATCCACAAAGTCTTGCAATGATGAACACATTATATTGTATCTAATAAGCCGAGAGCAGTAAACATTGTGATATAACTGTTAGGCCTGGTGTTTAGGGCACTCGTCTGGCAATATGTGGGTCACGAGTTCGAATCTCGTCTCCGAATGTGCTCGCCCTTTTAGACGTGGGAACTTTATAATGGGACGGTCGGTCCCACTATTCGTTGGTAAAGGGTAGCTCAATAATAGGCGGTGGGTGTTGTTAGCTAGCTGCCTTCCCTCTTGTCTATCACTTCAAAATTAGAGAAGACCATCGCAGATAGCCCTGGAGTAGCTTTGCGCGAAATCCCACAAATAAACAAACAAACATCACTTGTTTGGAAATGGAAAGTTTAAACTCCAAAGTTCAAGGTGTTCGTTCTATTGAAAATTTTAAACATGAAGGCTAGATTAATGATGTTGTCTAAATCCAGCAGTAAACATTGTGATATGTGGAAGATGTTTTTTTTTTCTAGACCAATCTTTGGTGGATACATTTCTACGATTGTGTCTAGAAAACCTAGCTTCATTAGTGTTTCTCAATACGGTTGAAACGTATGGAAATTCTAAGCATCGTAAATACAGATCTTCAACTTGCGAACTGGAGTTACCTGTCATTGGAATTCCTTTTATCTATTGGACGACATGTTGGCCAAATTGCACAAATGTATTTCAAATAAAAAGTACATTGTCCGCTAGAATTATTTTAATACGAAACATTGGTAATTGTTTTGATTGACATTGTTATATAAAGTTTTGTGTTTACTGATACCTAGTAATAAATTACCCGAATCATCAAACGATCGTGAAACTGTCGATAAAAGACTTTTTTTTTCCATATTGTACCTAAAGGAAAATTAGCGTAGAGATTTCTGAAATCAAACGTATTGTTGCGTCAGCGAGGTCACTTGACTAGTGTCACGCCACATATTTTCTAGAAATATCCCGTTCCTTCGTGAATGCCATAGAATTTACTAGATATAGGGTAGTCTGGTATATATATAAGAGGGTGGCAACGTGACGGAATAATGTGTGTAGGTAGTGAGTAATTGAACTGCAGTCAGAAAGTATTGTTGAAGTTAACGTTCGTCGTTAAAACGTTTATTATAGAGCGACTGTTGAAAATAAGTGTATCGGTAAAGTTATATTCAGAAAGAATAAACCAGTTTTATTAAGTAAGGACTTGTGTCGCTAAAGTTTCGTCGGAACGAAGTTACAGAAAATCAATTAACAAACGGAGACGTAACAATATCTATTGCTATAGTAACTAAATAAGTTCCTTCTACATTTAGTGGAATTGCCGGTGGTATATTATGAACTAGCGAAAGTACTCGGTTTCTCTCGGGTTATTTGGTTGATTTATTCTAGAGGACTCTGTTAGTGTGTGTATTCTGAACCTATTTTAACATTAAAATAGAACCGATATACTTTTGTTGTTCCTTTACAGGATGTGGCCTGTTTATAAGGTAACATTCCTTCTGACTTGTTCTTCGATTTTAAATTTAAATAATGATAAAAACAAATAATAAAAAACAAACCTCTTTAATTAACGGAGCCTCTAAGCTAGAAAACAAGAGTTTTCAATTTTGTGGCTTATACATGTCATTTTATACTTTCAGCCTTTTAACAACAATATTAGGCTATACTTTTATTGCTAAACAACATGATATAAAGGCCATTGTTGCAACACATTGTTACCAAAACACGCCGGCTTTTCTATATATTAGATGTTATATAATGAACCACTTCGTTACTATGAGGTTTTTTGCTAGATTACGTCATTTAAAAGATGCGCACGCATTATGAATGGATTAACACTAAAGGCGTAATAATTTCTTTCCAGTTCATAGTTCTTAATAGTGAATTTCATTAATTGTATTATGCGTTTATTGATTATGATATTAATTTTATTTACCGAGTTTCTAAATATGATTACATATAATTTCTTTTTTCTTGTTACTGCAGTTATGAAAAAAAATTACTGAGTAATGTACTAAGCCTTTTTGTGGTGCATTTTCAGTTAATATTTGGACATTATCGGAATTTTGGATCTTTACTCATTAGTAGTCGTAAATCTTCGTTAGTTTTGATATCAAGGTTATGATGAGCACGTGTTTGATGGAGGGAATGAATGAACTACATTAACATCTTGAAGATACAATGTTGTGTAACCCTTCAGTGGTTATGTTATCTAGCACTGTATTATAATCAAAGATATTACTGCCAAAGGCCGACTTGCAAGAATAGCTAATAGTTTGGTACTTAAATTTGCAAGTGTTACACAAAGATTGTTGTATAGAAGTGTTACTGATTCTAAAGTTAAGTAGTTCTATCCTCATGTCTGTAAATGGAACTGTGAGGTAAGCCTTATCATTATGCTCATTAGTAGTTATTTTAGGTTTAAGTGATGACAAGTAGCTAGTATACATTCTTTATCAAACTTTATGACACGTGTGTTTATGTAATGTTTGAACAAAAGCAAGTTTGTTAACCGACAGACTTCGCAAGGTAACGTAACAAACTTTTGAGACCCTTTGTTGATAAACTTCTGTCACGTTCGTAATAAAGTATTGTTGCGTGAGCGAGGTCATGTGACTAACGTCACGCCACTTCTCTCGAACCTTCGGGAATAGTCGGGAATATAGGGTAGTCTAGTATATATATAAGA